TAATATTAACAGTATGAAGATTATTATAAATGGTATATGTGAGCTAAGTAATTTTATCTTGATTTATGTTGTTGAGCTCATGAATTTTAAGTAATTAAGTTATGTTTGTTTTTGTCTCTCATTTCCAAGAGACATCCTGAGGCGAACCAAAAGCAAAATCCTTCAAAAAAGTTAAATAATCTAAATCAGCAAATAAATTTCCATTAACTGCTAGTCTCCTTTCATAGACCTCTGTTGCTAGTTAATTTTTTTCTCTTCAAAGGACTCCTATACATATTGTTCAGGTGCATGCTACTTCATATTTCAAGTAATATTGTTTCACATAATACATGTATTTTTGAGTGTCTCTAAGACCAGATGAAGGAAAAACAGTCACAGTTATTAAATCAAGTGATTCTGTGCCTTTTAGCATAGCAGCAGAACAACCATGTTCAGTAAACGTGAGCCACGTTTCTCAGGGGAAAAATAGTTGGATCTTCTTGGGTATTCAATTTGTCAAACAGATTGCTTTTGAAATACTTTGGCTCTGTGCCATAGGATGTCCAAAGATGTTTTATGGTTCAAATAACTTAGTTCTTTAGGGGAAATAAGTGACTTTTCCCTCTTTGGTCTAGGGAAGAAAATTAAAAGCAAGTTGATTTTCATTTATCTTAACTAATACAAAACAGAATCTTGATATGCCAATAATTTGTTTATTGTAGTTCATGAGCTGTTTTTGATCAAAGACCCCTTGATACTAATAAAAGCTGTGAGCTTTCTCCACTAGAAAAATGCCCATATTCCCCAAGACTGCGTGCAACTAGTATCCACAGGGCTGAAGCTTATTCATGGAACCTGGTTAAGAAATTCTGTATCTTAGTAATTCTGCATAAGTTGTTTGTGATTTTAAAAAAAACCTTATTTTGGCCGGGCGCGGTGGCTCAAGCCTGTAATCCCAGCACTTTGGGAGGCCGAGATGGGCGGATCACGAGGTCAGGAGATCGAGACCATCCTGGCTAACACGGTGAAACCCCATCTCTACTAGAAAATACAAAAAAAAAAAACTAGCCGGGCGAGGTGGCGGGCGCCTGTAGTCCCAGCTACTCGGGAGGCTGAGGCAGGAGAATGGCATAAACCCAGGAGGCGGAGCTTGCAGTGAGCCGAGATCCAGCCACTGCACTCCAGCCTGGGCGACAGAGCGAGACTCTGTCTCAAAAAAATAAAACAAAAAACCTTATTTTAATATTTAATATATGTGTGTAGTATATATAGTACACATTTTGTAGTTTTATTTTTTCCTGCATAAGTATTTGTTACATGCAGCTAAAATTTCTTGACTACTTAAGAATTTCTTATTTAAGAAAGTACTGTAATTATGTTTTATTGGAAGATAATATCAAATTATTACATACTCTACCTAGTATAAAACATACCACACACTTGAATTCATAAAAGAAAAATCAAAGTTGTATACTCTGTGCTATATTGCTAGATTAATTCCCAGCCAAGAAACATGTTTTTGTAAGAGTTACTGGTTTTAGAAAAAAAATCACTTAATTTTAGGAAGAACCAAGTGAGATACTGACTTTTGATATGTGGTAATTTCTTGTTTGTTTTCTTTCTGTTGTAGCAAAATAACTGTGACAAATTCCATGTGGATTTAATAGAATTTGCAGAGTCATTTTAATCAATTTGCCTACCAGGAAAAGTTGATACTTTCAGTGTGATGAAATTTTCCTTAGCCATTTCCCCCAATAATTTGCTCATTTCCTAGATACATAATTTAATGATACCAGATTTGTTTGTCTCTTTGAATTTTTTTTTTTCTGAAAGAGTTAAAAGGATACTTCTTAATAACTGTGACAGTACTTGAGTCTCTTTAATAGTATGGAAAAGAATGAGAGAATAGTGTAGCCATCTGCTCCCCTGTGTGAAGGGACTGGGTGTTCTGCAAGGACTTTGTTGTGGCGAAGGAAGGAGAGCCATTCACTCATTTTTTTAAGAGTATATTTCTTCATTCTATAGATTGCCTTCTCGGAAGTTCAACTTTTTAAAAAGCTTATCAACTTAGAAATCATCCATGCTCTGCCTATTTTGATTAATGCCATAGTAAACTCCTAAGTCCAAGAAAAGAGGAGACCCAGAATGCCTGCCTCTGGGCAGCACGTTGATTTCCTTACAACTGTGTATCTCAGCAGTGTTTGACTTGGACGAAGGAAATTATAGAAAAACCTTGCCATCTTTAAATCTGGATCATAAGGTGCCAGAGCCTTCTGTTAGCTTATTTGTCATCTATTTTTTACGGTTCCTGCAAGCTCCATTCCTTGGAGGTACTTGAAACTGCAATTGACATAATCAGTTCCTAAGATTGGTTCAAATGCTGCTAAACTCAAAAAGAAGTGTTTTTAAAAAATTTAAACATCTTTTTTATGTATTTGATACATTTAAAAATTATTTTTGAAACTGTGCCATAGGTAGGGTTTTTTTTTCTGTATTCTTCAAAATCACTTTTTCTTACACATTTTTCAATTTTATAGTGCCTCCTAATGTATTACTAGCTTTACTTGCATCTACTAGTCAGTGATCTGTAAATCCATATCCAGTTACAAGAGCCTAGTATAGAAAGGAAATGTGCAGTGTAATTCTTGGGGAAAAATGAAAAATCTTCATTTGGGCCTATGGGCTATCTATTATAGTATGTTGATACATCATGGCCAGGGTCCATTCTGGTTGTGCAGTACCTGTTGTTGAATATTTTGAATATCACTCATAAATACATTTTTTCCTGGATGAAATAAGGACTTTTCTTTATTTAATATATAATCAGATTCCTGAACATCAAACTGAAATGTTATTTCTCTTCCATCATTTCTTACTCCTTTGTATTTAATTTCAGCTCAGGGTTATTTTGCTTATGCTCTTTTCACTCATTCTTGCAGTTAGGAATAAAATTCTAAATAAAACAGACACTGAAATAAAGAAATACTCATGTGATGAACAATGTCTAAGATTTAACAGATCCTCAAACTCGAAGAACACCTAAAGATCATCTATTCTGATTCATCTGCCAGCTCATGTCAGGGACCTGAGATTAGAATCCTGGTTTCTTGATTCCCAGTTCTGTACCTTTTAAGTATAGTCTTTTGCTGTAAATTATTTTTTCTGAACCTATTTAAGAATTTGATGGTATTGAAAATGAAATTTTCATTCATGTTATTACTGATTACTAGTTATTCTTGATTCTGGGTTACTAAGAAAACCAATACTGCTGATTTTTTAACACTTAAGTTTTACATCCCTTGGTATGGCAGTGAGAAAGGTGATGAAAAATGGACTTCTTTCTCCCTAGGGTTGATTTTCTGATCTCAGCACTTTAAACAGTCAGTGTGAGAATTCATCATTGCTTCCCAGTCTTAGCCTTCTTTTCCCCTTTCCTCTGTTCCACATGTCAGGTCTGCTGCCATAGGGAGCAGTCCAATTTGTGCCTTACAAAGGTACCTTTTCCTGATGTGTCCTGCCTGGATGTTCCTAGTGTCATCTGCTAGGTTCCCCCACTGAAGTCCCTTCCTCCCTTCTTTTCCCTCCTTCCCCCTTCCTTCCTTTCCTTTTTTTCCTTCTTCCCCCTTTCCCCTTCCCCTTTTCCTCCCATGCCTTCCTCTTCTAAGTACCTCCCCCAGCCTCCTAATCTCCAGTTAAACTTTTTCTTTTATCTCATTGTTCTCTTTTAAAGCCACTCAGCATCACTTACAGTTTATAAAACATTTGTATATGCATTTTAACTTTAACCTTAGCAAAATTAGTAGGAAAATGTTAGCCTAACCCTTAAGAAATTTTTCCAGTAACAAGTGCATATTTTAATACTGACCTTCTACAGACAAATGGTCTATCTTTGTTTTTCAATCTCTGAATGAATCTAAAGGTAGGAATTTTAGGGCCTGGAAGAAACCTGCCCATCTAGTCTCGCCAGTGAGAAAAGTGATAGAAGACAGGGCAAATCTTAGTCCTTAAATCTCCCCATAGAGATCCCTGGGCCATGTACTGGGAGGACCAGCCCTGGTTAGATCAAGAAATCAACTGGAAAGATACCTTAGCTCTACTGGGCACTTTGACTCATCTGATTCATTGTTGGCCCAAGTAAGACGAGTTTCAGTGACTCAATCTATTGGGGACCTTTTGATTTCTGTGGAATCAGGGAGTTTCTTCCTCAGCAGACGTTTCCTTGTTCGTCATATTTTCAGGTGTTTAAACTTGTGACTCAAGTACTTTAAATATCATAGAATGCATTTTATTTTCAGTAGCCTGCTAAGGAAATTACTGCTATTCCTGCAGCTAGTATCAAGTGAGGAAATTGGATCCAAGGTAGTCATCATCAAATTATAGCTTTTTACTTTCAACCTGATTGCTAGTTTAGTTTGGGGCAGTTAGCAACTTGAAGGATAGATTTAGTAAGAAAAGATGCTCTGGAAGAGGTGTAATTTGAAGAAAAATAGACCCTTGGGGGAAGAATTGAGGTCAAAGAATTGAGTAGCAAAGAGATGTCCATTTGTTCTAAGGCAGCTTAGTGAAAGGTGGAGGTGAGGTTTGAATGGAGGTAGTGAGTGAAGAAGAGGCATGTGTATTTTCAAAGTCAGTAGAGGTTGGTGTTGACTGATAATCAAAAGAAGCTTAAGTTTTATTCATGATCCTCACCATATCTTGGAACTGGTTACGTTCCATTATGATTGCTGAGCCTTATCAGTAGAGCTCCTCTCCTGCCCTTCGCTAGCAGCTTTCTTCTAGAGCAGATCATGGAAAATGGTATAATGTGTATGGCTCATTAGAATGTAATCTGAAGTGGCCTTTGGAAATCAGTCATGTCAAAATGTGGTGTGATTTTAGCTTTCCAAGTTGACTTTTTCCAACTCTGAAACATTATCTCCTAAGTGTCCTAGGCTTCCCACTATGAAATGTTGCATGCTGATAAATAGTTGATGTATTTGTCACTCATGTCGCTACATGAGCTGTTTCTCGGTTAATTATAGGAACTAAGAGAAATACATAATAAGCAGCAACTCCAGAAGCAAAAGTCGATGGAGGCTGAACGACTGAAACAGAAAGAACAAGAGCGAAAGATCATAGAATTAGAAAAACAAAAAGAAGAAGCCCAAAGGTGAGTCTTCTTTGGATTATGGACTCATCTGGAAGGAACTTTGAGGATTTACTATTCTTTGCCTGGCTTCTCCAAGTACTTACTGCACCAGAAAGAGCTTTCAGTCTTTAGTGTGCGTGTGAAGTGTGAGTGCAAACACAAACGTGTATATATAAATCTTTGCATATATCAGTACCCCCTGAAGTTTTTGGTTAGTTCCCAGAGCTCTCTAAGCTACTACTATGTAGATAAATGGAATTATACAAGGAAATTGGGACACTTGGTGTGCTCATTTGCATGTTAATGGCCAAAATAACATTTCTAGTTCACAGCCTTTTACTAACAGCTAACAGGGGTTGGAATGCCTGGTTTAAAATCTAAGCCACTGAGCTAGTGCCCCACACAGGGCTTCTCCAGCAGGGTCAGGGTGGGCCCCTCTGTTTCCCTTCTGTTTTTCAACTGCAAATTAAACTTTAGTACAAAAGGGGGAAATTTGCTGCTTAGTGCGTAGGATACAGACATGTTTGTATCTGTTTTTGAAGATTTGTGTTTGTGATGTTTTTATTTTTACTTGTAACTTACTGTGGTAAATTGTAGAAATTTGTGTCTGATTTTGTTACTGGGTATTTGCCTTTTAAATGTCAGTTAATTTTAGACTCCACAAAACAAAAATGACCAAATGTCCCAATGACAGCCTGTAAATTATAAAAGTTGGTAATTGAAATTAGATTAAGGCCAGGCACAGTGGCTCACGCCTGTAATCCCAGCACTTTGGGAGGCCAAGGTGGGCGGATCACAAGGTCAAGATATTAGGACCATCCTGGCCAACATGGTGAAACCCCGTTTCTACTAAAAATACAAAAATTTAGCTGGGCACAGTGGCACGTGCCTGTAGTCCCAGCTACTTGGGAGGCTGAGGCAGGAGGATCACTTGAACCCAGGAGTCGGAGGTTGCAGTGAGCTGAAATCATGCCACTGTACTCTAGCCTGGCAACAGAGAGAAACTCTATCTCAAAAATAGAAAAAGAAAAGAAAAAGAAATTAGATTAAAAAGACGACGAAATGGATACTTGAGACAAGTCGTAAGTCGTTAACTTTAGTGGGCTGAGTTCAGTTAACCTGCGGAGAGCTGTGCCTACTTTCTTATGGGTATGTAGAGTCGTCTGTTTGTTTTTCAGTGCCAGTGGGGAGGTATCTGGGGTCCCAAACCAATTTACATGATTGTTTTATGGTTTTCTTGGAGGTCAGACTAAGGGTCTCCTCCTTGGATGTACTGATTAATTCCATCCTTTTCTTACCTCCACAGTGTATAAAATGCTTTTATTATTCACACTATACTGCACTGAACTGTTAAATTCCTACAGAGTAGAAATAAACGTAAAATACAGAAAAATACATAAAATACATAAAATAGCATAATACAGAAAATAGCTTAATAAAATATAATATGTAATATATATTCCAATTACATAGATAAAAACTACTCCAAATTAACTTCAGAAATTAGATGGTTGTACACTATATATGGTGACCTTTATTGGTAGAAAATATAAAGTAATTTTTTTTTTTTGAGACGGAGTCTCACTCTGTCACCCAAGCTGGAGTGCAGTGGCATGATTTCAGCTCACTGCAACCTCTGCCTCCCTGGTTCAACCGACTCTCCTGCCTCAGCCTCCCAAGTAGCTGGGACTACAGGCGTGCGCTACCACGCCCAGCTAATTTTTATATTATTAGTAGAGATGAGCTTTCGCCATGTTGGTCTAGAACTCCTGGCTGGTCTAGAACTCCTGACCTGGTGATCCACCCTCCTCACCCTCCCAAAGTGCTGGGATTACAGACGTGAGCCACCGTGCCTGGCCACTGTTTTTATTATGGTTTTTTGTTGTCATGAATAACAGTGTCCTTACCCCTCCAAAAAATGTTTTTATACTTTCCTAAAAGACATTTTAAAAATTGTAAATAAAATGTTTAAGATTTAAGTTTGAAGACTTCTGCATAAAAATTTCACATTCATACAGAGTAGCAATAAATGTAATTTTTTGACAATGGAGAATAAAAGTATAATTTGTTTCAATTATGTTCCCGTGGCAAATTCCTAATTCTAGCCAATGACCTGTGTGCGTTAGCCATGTCACAGGATGGCAGTTCAGGGTGGAGACTCTGGGACCAGGCTGCCTGGGATTGAAGCCCAGGCACATATGATTGTGTGATGTGGACAAGTCATTTAATATCTCTGCCCCAGCTTCCTTATTTGTAAAATGGGAGTAATACTAAGACTACCTACCTGATTCGCAGTTTAAAGGAGTTAATATATGGAGAGCTAGTTATTATTATATCATTTGTTATTACATATTAGTTTCATTTAAAGTATTTTCTGACTTTATAAAGTATTATAGAATGAGAAAAATCATTCTCAGTCTTCTACTGTGGGTTTCAGGTTGAGGCCATCAAAAATTACAAGGCCTAGATTTAATTACAATTATCTATTTGTGGTAGCTACTTAGAAAAACAAAATCAAAGTAGTTGAAGTCAATAAAACAATCCCTTGCTTTCAGCTTCAGGTTTGGGGAGCAACATGTATGCATGTAAATGTGTTGTACCCTTTGCTGGGGGGAAATTTTAATGATCTGATTGATCATGTACTTATTTTAAGTGATATTTCATTTACAGTGTTGGGTGTATTTTATTTTTATAGAAGTTATGTTCTCTGTGTTTTATGGCTCTGTTTGGTCAGTTTAATACCCGCTTTATTATTAAGTGTGTTTCTTATTCTTGTAACCACTTTATAAAATACATCAGAAATTTTCTGTGTTTTCCTAAATCATGTGATTTCTTCTCACTCAGAACTGAAGCCCTGATTCAGTTGCCCCGTCTGAAGAACAATGTTCCCTTGATGTTTCCCATCCCATTTACTGGATGGAGCTTTTTTTGTGAAAAGAGGCAACAGTAGTGTTAACTTAGAGCTGCTTCCTTGCTGTAATCAAGTGTGTTTGTTGGCAGACGAGCTCAGGAAAGGGACAAGCAGTGGCTGGAGCATGTGCAGCAGGAGGACGAGCATCAGCGACCAAGAAAACTCCACGAGGAGGAAAAACTGAAAAGGGAGGAGAGTATCAAAAAGAAGGATGGTGAGGAGAAAGGCAAACAGGAAGCACAAGACAAGCTAGGTCGGCTTTTCCATCAGCACCAAGAACCAGCTAAGCCAGCTGTCCAGGCACCCTGGTCCACTTCAGGTATTAGAAGCCAAAAATAATTCTAGAAAATAAGTCATCTTCTCTCCCAGATCCTCCTGAAAAACGCCCATATCTCATCAGGACCAGTCTTGGCTACATTAACAGATGAGAACATCAGTCTCTTATTTTGAGCATGGCAGCTCTTCTTTCCCCAGGGTCAGTTGAGATCTGTGTAATTCTCCCATCACCATGCCAGCCTCTGGCCCACGTTACACCGGCATCCACGAGTCCTCTACAGAGTTAACAAGTGGCGTGAAGTTCCACTGGTCGTATATGCTGCAAAAGAACCTGCTGTTTCTCTGGTTTGTTATTTCCCTCCCTGGAATTTCTGGGCTGTTTCTGCAACAGAAAGTGGCACCTTTCACCCTTGCCTCCACTGATGGGGTATTCGCTGTCTTCGGTCTGCATTGCATAGAACTGCTTTTACTTTTTGAAAAGTGGCAGCGTTTTGTCCTTTGAACATAATTTGCTTTTTCTTTTCTTTACTTCTCTTTGCTTTTCTTTTTTCTTTGAGACAGTCTCACTCTGTCGCCTAGGCTAGAGTACAGTGGCACAGTCATAGTTCACTGCAGCCTCAAACTCTTGGGTTTAAGCAATCCTCCTGTCTTAGCCTCCCAAGGAGCTGGGACTATAGGTGTGCACCACCATGCCCAGCTAATTTTTTTTTTTGTAGAGATGGAGTTCTAACTTTGTTGCCCAGGTTGGTCTTGAACTCTTGGCCTCAGGCAATCCTCCCACCTTGGCCTTTCTGAGTACTGAAATTACAAGCATGAGCCACCATGCCTGGCCTAATTTGCCTTTTTTTTTAAAAAAAAAAAAGGATAAATAAAAGACTGAACAAAAAGATAAATGAAAGACCGATCTAATTGGAATAGCTAGGAAAAGCTATCCTTTATAATAACAGATGTAAGCTAGAATGTATTTAAGATTCCTGTGTGGTTGTGTGATTGTACAGTTTTGCAAATAATGCTCAGCGGAAGCAAGTCGTTGCTTTTTCTTTGTGTGGAAAATTATACCAATTTTGCTTGGTCATCCGTGTGCTGCTTTAGTGCTGCGGTATACAGAAAGAAAAGAAAGAAAAAACACTTTCAAGCTATTCTGTAAAGGTTTACTGGTTCCCAGCTGCATAGTGGGCTGAGATGGGCGTGAGGTATGGAGATGCAGTAGGCACCTACCTGCCTTCAGATGCGTGCAGTCCAGGGGAAAGACTGGCAGGTCATCAGACCTACACAGTAGCAACCATGTCATAGGAGGGGCAAATCAATTTTTTGATAGTTTTTTTCTATCTGAAAATAATTTCACCATTGATCTTAGGCAGTTAGTTTAAGTTCTTCACGCATCCTCCTAGTATAAAATGAAGATTTGTTTTTTCGCCTTCAGTCAGTAGGAAATCTTGCATGTCATACAGTTCAAAATCATGTGGAGATAATACTTTACCCTCATTGCTTTCTGGATAAGAGAGTTATATGTCAAAATACTTGTAGCTTTTGAGTAAAAATGCCCAAAGGTCTGTTATTAGTTGTTGCTAACCAGAATGCAAAATATCCTTTGCTCATGTGCATTTCTAAACATTTTGTTTCATTTAAAATCTAAATTATTTTCATCTAGGGTTCATCCTTAGGCTCATTATTTCCCAGAGAAATGTATAGGAAGAGTTTCTTCATTGGGGATTATCAGTATAACTGAAATCAGCACTTAGGTTTTATATGACCATGTTAAAGAGCCTAAAACATCTGCATTTTCATGTTTTGGTATGGAAACTGGTGCCTCTGTTCCCTCCCAAACAAGTTTGCTCCTTGGCTGATTCAGACTTTGGGTCGTATCCTAACTGCTACATTGTACTCAACACGCTGGGTAGGGAGGAGGGGGTATTGATGCTTTACAGATCTGCACTGCTAGAGCCCAAGCCAAGAGGCAGAGACAAGGGACCTTTAGGCAGCCTGGCTGCACTCAGCCTTGGAATGACCTTTGTTTAGAGGGAGTCACCAATGAACTCTCTGATGGGTTTGAGTTGCTGACGTCAGATTTGGCTCTGCTTTGGCAGTCAGTATGTGTTTCAGAAATTCCTTGAATGGAGGGAAATAGTTCAGAGGTGAAGATAGGCAATAGAGGAGAGGTTAGTTGTTTGGCTTGTTGTCGTACATTTATGTTCTCTGTAATTATTTATTTTTGTCCCCCCACCTTTTTTGTAAACAGAAAAAGGTCCACTTACCATTTCTGCACAGGAAAACGTAAAAGTGGTATATTACCGGGCACTGTACCCCTTTGAATCCAGAAGCCATGATGAAATCACTATCCAGCCAGGAGACATAGTCATGGTAAGAAAGACTCCAGTGAGAGGGTCATTTCTGTTGAAGATTAGCCTCTGTCCTCTTGTTTCACTTTATTCAACAATTGTGAGATTGTCAGTGAGTATGAAACCCAATAATTCAGCATCTAGATTTTTAAAGTGTAAGCTCAGTCTTCTTTCTTTTTTATTAAAATGAAAGATGGCATTTAAAAAATGTATCCCAACATCACTTTAAAATTGAGTTGGTAAAGACAATGTGTTCTTATTTTTAAATCTATAAATGTCTGATAATTTCAGAGTTTAGATTACTACTTATATACTATGAGTAGAAATATATGAGTATAAATATATATGTAATACATATATTTTATATATGATGTATAGACTATATACTAGCATGCGTGTGTATATATATGTATAATATATGCTAGTGTGCATATGTACATATATATACACACACACTAGGATCCTCCAAAGTGGGAGGAGGCCAGGAGTCTTTAAGAAATAGTTATAAGTGCAGAACACCTATCATCATTCTCATAATTGCAATAACTTTTGTATCTTTGCATCAGAGCATCTTTTTTCCCTTTAATTATGTGAACTTTGAATTATGTAAAAAGAGTAATGAATTACACAGTTAATCTGCTTTCCTACTCTGAAACAGAAAATAATTTAAAATTTTACTTTGTTACTGTTTCTTTCCTTTAATTAATAACAATCTTATGATGTGACTGAAACTATAGGAACCAGTTTAAGAAAGAAAATCAAACAACATGGTTCATCTAAATCATTTTCTAAAAGAAAATAGTAGTTCCTTGTTCTAGTTACTCACTTTTAGAGTCTTAGAAGTCGTCAACTTTGCATTACTCTTAGCACTTTTTTTTTAAAAGATAATTTAGCTTTTTTTGTTGTTGTTGACACAGCTTCTCACTCTGTTGCCCAGGCTGGAGTGCAGTGGCGTGATATTGGCTCACTGCAACCTCTGCCTCCCGGGCTCAAGCAAAGCGATTCTCCCACCTCATCCTCCCAAGTACCTGGAACCACAGGCGTACACCACCATGCCCAGCTAATTTTTGTATTTTCTGTAGAGACAGGGTTTCTCCGTGTTGCCCAGGCTGGTCTTGAATTGCCTGGGCTCGAATGATCCTCCCATGTCAGCCTCCCAAAATGCTGAAATTACAGGCATGAGCCACCATGCCTGGCCTAGAATTTGTAAAGAACTATGAAAGTTAACAATTGAAACAACATGTTTCTTGCCCAAGGACTGTATGTCTCTGAAGTATAAAGGGTGTTATACAGGTGATTATACTATTACTCATGCATTCATCTTGCCATATACACATCATATCTGTGGATCTTTAATAGGCTAAAATACGTAGAAATAACAGTATGTTTAGCACTTAGAGAAATCAATTCTTATGTCCCCTTTTTTCCTGATAGCGCTGTTTTCTCTGTAATTACCATGGGCTAGAAGAAGCAAGGCCAAAAATCCCAAATTATTTTTTCTTTTCTTTTCTTTTCTTTTCTTTTTTTTTTTTTTTGAGACAGAGTCTCACGCTGTCACCTAGGCTGGAGTGCAGTGGCATGATCTTGGCTCACTGCAGCCTCCACCTCCCAGGCTCAAGTGATCCTCCTGCCTCAGCCTCCTGAGTAGCTCAGAGGTGTGTGCCACCACACCCAGCTAATCTTTATTTTTTTATTTTTTTGTAGAGCTAGGGTCTCCCTATGTTGCCCAGGCTCCAGATCTTTAAAAGTTAAAATCACCTTAACAATAGTGAAAACCTCTTCAAATATACTCCATGGCTTCATTCAGCACACAGTTATTGCCTGAAACATGCTGGGTGCCAGCCTTACTCATCCTTTACAGAAAGAACTGTGGGTTTGGGCACTCCACTCTGCGCACACAGACGGTAACTCGAGCCAGCAGGGCATGTTTGTCAGCTTTCCTCTGACTTCACCACCTGCTGTTTCCTACACCGTGGTTTCTAATAGCCTGAAGCTACTTTCCCACACTGCCTCGTATTTGAAGTAGTGTATCCTGTAAAGCAGATTAATTGTAAAATATGTAAATACCATGTAATAGGAATCTAACATTTCTGAAAATACATTGTCACATCAGTGAGGACCTCATTACAATTTTTTTTAATGTTAAACAAACCAGCCTAATATTTTTGAAACTGGATTTTCTTGCAACACAAGGTGCAGAGAAGCAGCTCGCTCTCATCCTAAAGTAAGGGAACGTTGTGAAATGTTATGATAAGGAAATGTTGCAGGTGATCTGTATCTTGATGAGAAAGTGTTGCTCTTTTTCGGTAACATATTTGGGCTTCACCTATAATCCTAGGCCTGTTGAAACCTTTTCCTCGAATTGGCTAGTTAACCACCAGCTTGATGAGATGCGTAGAGTTTAGATATGCTGTAAGAATAAAGCATGTCATTAAACATATATTTTGCCTTGCTTTCAAACCTTTGCTTTCCTGGTGGAGGTTAAAGGGGAATGGGTAAGTGTTGCCTAACTGTCAGGAAGTCTGCATCTTATTCAATGTTTTGTCCTTTTAAGTCACTTGAATTCTGTGTAAGTACACATATCTCTGGGTGTTGTTGTGGCAGTAAAAATGTGTTTGAGTCTGTGTAGTAGGTTGTGCTTAAAAAAAAAAAAAGTAAGTCATAAGTCTTCTCAGTTTGTGTACTGGGTTTCTTTTTGCTAGATTCCTTTTAAGGACTAACTTGAATGCTCTGTGTTTGGCAAGGAATTGGGTCAAGTCTTCATCCCAGGCCATAGACAAAAAGGAGTTCCAAGTAGATTAAACATAAAAGATAACAATTCTGGAAAGCAAAAATTTTTAAGGAGACTATTGGAATAATTTTCTGGCTAAGAAAGGCCTTTTTAAGCTATAAAAACCAGAAGTCGTAAGAGGCAAAAATGGACAGTTGACAATATGCAAAAATTAAAATGTCTATATTTCAAAATATATGAGACCAAGGGTTACATAAAGGGTTACCCCTGTTACATAAAGATTCCAAACAGTTAACTTTGAAAGACACCCACAAGCCTTAAACAATTGGCAGAGGGTGGGAAGGGACATTCACAGATGAAGTAAAAAGTCAGTTATTTAAAAAATACATGAAAAGATGCTTAGCTTCTTGGGCGATCAGAAAAATGCAAGTTAGAAAACAAAATAGCATTGTTCCTCTATCAAATGAGCAAGTTTAAAAGTCTGGTAATATCCAGCTTTGTCAAGAGTATAGGACAGTGAATATAATATACATTGTTAGCATGGTTGTATAAATTGGTTAAGTGATTTGGAGGGCAATTTGGCAGTGCCTGTTTAGATTTAAAATTCTCATTCCCTCTGCCCCAGAAATTCTATTTTTCTGCTTCCTCTCATGCTTTTCCTTCCTCTTTTGGGCACATGCACAAATATGTGTGTACATGGATGTTCACTGCAGTGGTGTTGGTAAAAGGAAATGAACAGCCCAATGTCCATCAGTAAAGGGATGGTTTAAATAAATTATTATATAGCTAAAAATAATGAAGATTAAAACTTATATAGATCACATATACATATAAGATTTCCATCAAAAAAGCAGAATATGTGCAGCATAATTGCATTTGGTTAGAAATAAAACTATATATGTATTCATGTGTTTATGTATAGTTAACAGTTTTGAAATACATATATCAAACTGTTAACAATGGTTACCACTGGGCAGTAAAGAAGGGGCTTTCATGTTGAATTTTATAGACTTCTATGTTGTTTTCATTTTTATAAATGTATTTAATTTATAATTTTTAATAAAACTAAAAATAAATTAAGGACAAGTATAACAGAGAATATCTACCCAGGACTGTAATAGTGTTTATTTTATCTCAGACCTCCTAAATATGTAATGAAATGTAGAATGTACTACTAGGCATAATTAGTTGGCTTGCGGAAGGGACAGCAGTGTTTCAGTTTTGTACTACAAAATGCATTGTGATACTCCAGGTGCCATTCAACTGTGTTATCATTGTGAGGATAACAATCAATGCAAAAAGATAGATATTGACATCTAATAGCAACAGGTTTGTATTTTTTTAATTTAATGAATTTTGCAGGTAACAAACAAGGAGCATGAAACATGTAGTACAACATTACTGCCAGTCTCTCTAGGTTGAAAAATCCGGGGTTCACTTTTACTTTTGTGGGCACAGTCATCATCAGATTCTCAGATTCCTCAAACATCTTTGGGACATAGGTTACTATAATATGTTCAATTTTTAGAAGTCTACCAATGTGACAGTGTTTTCTTTTTCAGTGTAGGCAGTCTTAGCCTTAAAAATAATTTGCTTGTAGAAAAACTTAGCCCGGTTTTATCCAAAACCATAATTTTTCATGGTTAACAAAAATTTAATGTGATACCTTGTATATAGCACTATTATCAGTGCTGTTGATAATAGAAAATTATCAAGTCTACCATTCATATGGTTAAAATCTTTTTAGAAAAATCTAGAGGAACACATGAAAAGGCCAATATTTGATGAAGCTCTCAGTAAATATTCACTAACTCTGCTAGGAATTTAGAGGAGGAGAGGAATCCGTGTGAAGTGATGTGCTCCGCGAAGACTGAATGCTTTCCGATTGAGTTTGACCTTGATGGCTAAGGCTTAGATGCTTAGAAAATATATGGCCTCTCTTGATGTGGAAGTCTCAATTCTTGGAGGGTGAATTAAATCAAGTTTGACATCCGTCACATATTAGTAGAACATAAGAAACGAGAAGACCTATGCTCACTGCTGTTTTGTTGAAGTTTATCTGGAGAACACAGGCTGGGTGTCTAAATCAGTACAGTCTTTTGGCTTTCATGGGCCACATTGCAAGAATTGTCTTAGGCCACACATAAAATACACTAACTGTAACAATAGCGGATGAACTTTAAAAAAATCGCAAAAATATCTCATAATGTTTTAAGAAAGTTGATGAATTTGTGTTAGGCCGCATTAAAAGCTGTCCTGGGCCACATGCAGCCTGTGGGCTGTGGGTTGGA